AGTTGACTGTATAAGAAACAAGAAACTGAACATTTGCTTCTGTATCGACATGGAAAACCACAAAGTCACACTGATTCCAATTTCAATCCAACACCACGGGGTTTAACTGGTTTTCTCTCTCATATTTGTATCTCTTTTGACAATGAGGAACGTGACGCCCACTACCCGTTCATTTACTTGTCCGACCAATCCCCTTCACGTTTCCACTCTCCCACCTCCCTCTCCGATAGGGATGCCTCCTCGGTCCACCTGGCTCCACATCCTTTCCTCGTGGGGCTCCAGTGCCGAGGGGTTCCACTCGCTCTTCCAGGCCCTGACACCCAGTGCTGGGTCACACCTCTTCATAGACACCCTCTTCACCCAGCTGGGGCTCCGACACCTTGCTCTGGGCCACCGCAGGTCCCTACTCTTCTGACACAGGATTTTTACATAGTCTGATACGATCTCCTTACAAAATAATTATAATTGTAAGTGAGAAAATAGTGATTTTACAGTGAAGAAGCCTGGCTCAAAGTGATGGGCCAAGTATAAGATTCGTGGTGTTGATGAAAATCCTGAATTCAGAATCCAGAGGGGGTGACAGAAGGCTTCCGGGAGCTGGGGAAGGACGGAAGCAGGGAACAGGCTAGTGCATGAGCAGCCTCAGTGTTAGGGTGCGGGAGATGGGTGGGGAGGTGTGGGCTTCTTACGGAGACCAACATAAATAGGGATGAAAGGAAAATGGGCATCACCTGCAGTGGACCGAGGTAGACAGTGGAGGTGAACCTGTGAAGGTGAGGGAGGCCGACCGGAGGATGAGCGTCTGATGCTGCCTGCTGGCCTTCATCTATGAGGGAAGGGTCTGGCGCAGTGTGGCCACAGGCCCTGGGCACCAGGTCCATTCCTGACCCCAAAGAGAATGGACAGACTTGCTCTAGACGTGTGGGGCCCACCCCGACTCTTGCTGATTGCATTGTGGCTCTCCCACTTGTCCTCCAGCATATCATACTAATGGTCATTTTTGTTTGTTTGTTTTTGAGTACTTCGAGCCCCTTCATGCTGCTCATGTTGTTGACTAAGAATAACTGTGTCGCTTTAACTTCCATGGCTGCTTCTTATTAATCCTTCTGGGCTCGTTTCGGTCACCCTTGTGCTATCATGCTACTCTGTGTGTATCTCTATATGAGCACATGGGTGCTTATACATGGGCCTCTGTGTCTCCAGCACAAAACATTGATCACTCCTCCCTGGGAACCATGGACTGTAGTTCCCTACCCTTGAATCTGGGCTAACAGAATGTAGCAGAAAGAGGCTCTGAGGCTTCTACTCAGGCCTCTTGGAATATTCTGGAAGCCCTGAACACACTCACCATGGAGGAAGCCCAGGTCCCTTGAGGTCATGTGTCGGTTCCAGCGGAGTCCAGCCTTCCAGCCGGCCCTGCACTGGCACCAGATACATAAGTGAAGTCATCTTGGACCCTCGAAATGTGCTCTGGTACCAGTTAATTATGTCTGAGTGACCTTAGTGGACATCATGGAGAACAGAAGAATTGCCCAGCTGAGTCCTCTCCCCTTTCCTGAGCTACACAATAAAAAGTTACAGTAAAATGCCTTTTGTTTTAAGCCATTAATTTTTGGATTAATACGTTTTGCAGCCACAAATGCCTGGAACCCCTCCTGAAGGCAGGGATTAGCCTTATCTATTCTCATCTCTTGGTTTAAGGTCTGATGCACAATAAGTGTTTATAACATGGTTATTGACCTGTTAAATCAGGAAAAAAAAAAAGGAGAAGTTTCTAGAAAAAAGTCAGAAGTTCAGCCAATAAAATTTAATATCATCAAGATCGTATATTACACCATATTGTCAGCTTAACACTCACGTGGCATCTCGACTCTGGCTTTTCTTCTTTGGGTGCTTCGCTCAGTTTCGGTTTTAATGTGATTGCACTATCTTTCATTTAA